AATTAACCGAGGCCTAGTTCATTTACGACGATCAGTATAAAATGAACTTCTCCTCTCTGGGATCCTGTTCAATACATAAATGTACTAGTGCAACTAATCAGTCAAGACAAACTGTACAGTTGACACTACAACCGTTCGGATGGGGTGTTCATGTCCATCTAGGTTGTGAACAACTATTCTTGTTCGCAAGTGACTGACAGAGTGATCTTCGGTTCGCCCGATGACGACCCACCCTATCTAAGTGCAGAACAACAGAACGTAGAACTTGTTTAATCTAACATGATTCTCATTCATAAAGGGTAAATGTGTAATAACATGCAAAGGCAAGCTTTCAGTATATAACACTAACACGCGGCTCCGGCACGGCTGCGCGCGGAGCCTGGGAAGGGACCGGGTTAGCCTCAGGCGCCGCCGCCACAGTCACCTCGGCATCCTGAGATCCCTTGTTCAGAGCCGCCCTTTTTTTTGCCAGGTTCAATCGTCCAGACATAGCGGCAGTCGTTCGAGCCTTCAAAGGATTCGGGTTTTTGCGACGGTATTTGTTCGCGGCCTTCGTTGATTCAAATCCTTTGAGTCTGAAGAGAGGGTAATAAACTGCGAAGGAGTAACGCTTAAATTAGGTACCGATTAACGATTAGATGTCGAGTAACGCTTAGATGCCGAGCAGGAGTAAAAGTCATACCTGGCTTGAACGATCTATTGGCGACCTCGGGACTCAAGTTGTGGTCAAGGAAGGTCTCTTCGTTAGTGAGGGTTGAATAATGCCGACTCTCGGGATTGAGCCCCAACAAAGTGTCGATCCGGGTGGCGAGAATAGAACTGGGTGCCGGGCTCGTGCTGTGGACTGAAAACGTAAAGTATGACCTGTTAGCACAAGAAAAAAAGAAAAATCAGTAAAGAACGAAAGAGAAAAAAGGAAAAAGAGCTTATGAGTATGGGAAATGAAACTCGTCGGCGCGTGCCGAGTCGCATCCTGGGTCCTCCATTCACCTCCGACCCAGAACCACTTCGGCATATACCCGTGGAGGGTCTCCGGCAACTTGGCCACCAATGACTTATCGATGCCCGGCAACACCGAGCTGTAATAATTGCCCGTGTCGCCGGAGCGCCGAAAAGAAAACAACGATTTCACCTCGGCACCCGTGGGATCGGGCCAGCCCTCACGGCGAAACATGACGATCAAGCTCACGAGCCGGACGAATACCGTCGGCACATACTGACTGATGCCGATCCCGAGCTCACTGAGGATATCGTTTAACGCACCGGGCAAAGAAAAATGAAGGCCCAGGTGGATACTGTGCCGATACACCCCTATGCAGCCCGGCGGCGGGCAGTGAATTCGCTCCCCGGGATAAGGTGCAAAAATGTGGACCCCGGGCCCAAAGTTGTACTTTCCCCTCAACTGGGCCAGATCGGCATCATCCAAAACAGAAGCGGTGTTCCACGCTGACATCTGGCTCGGCGTTGCCCAAACCCGCTTGGGTCAGCGCCAAAACCCGGGCGGGACGGTAGTTACCGCCTCGAGGGCGGCATCTAACGACGCGTCCCCCATAAGAACGCGCTCCCGCCCGCTGGTATCCCCCCGGAGAGCCTCGTCGACCAGATCAGGATCGACGTCGGAGTCGGTATCCAAAAAATCGAGGTCAATCGAGTAGGCGTCGGCAGCGGCGGTCTGATCCAGATTGGCATCGTTACCTTCGCGCAGCGGCGACGAAGGAAGGCTGGGTCCGTCACCTCCGCCACCAGAGGCGGTTTCGACCGCCGAAGGATCCGGCCGGACCACCGAAATAGGGACGGCGGTGAGGATGACATTCGCCTGCCGAATAGTGTTGTCGCCATCACCGGTAAAGTCACCGCCGTCGCCCGCAGATCTCGGAGAAGAAGACATCGCAACCGAAAAGACGAGAAAGAAAAGTAAAGAGAGGAGCGGAGTGAAGATTACCGGAAAATAGCCGAAGATCGTCGCCGGAAAGTCCTTGAGATAAGCTCGAAGTTCGCCTCGAAAATCGCAAAGCTCAGGGATATTTGAGAGTTCGAATTTTTTGAAGATGGGAAAAGTGAAAGAATTTCTGAAAAGGGATATATATAAGATCGCCCAACCAATCAGACGCGGACACGTCTACGGGCCTTTTGAAATTCGAAATTTAAAGCAAAAGTAACCGAAACATCCTGAGCAAGCCAACCGTCATCTCCTGTAGTCAACCGTTACGCCCCTTCGAAATACTTGGCCCTTAATCTGCCACGTGCCCCCCTGTGTGAATGCAATAAACACACGTCTTCGGTTACCGACCGTTACGCCCCACTTCTTCGGTTACCAACCGTCACACCCCACGTCTTTGATTACCAACCGCTACGCCTCAAAGTGTGGTGAAGATGCCGACCTCAAAAAGGGTCGGACACGAACTCGATGGACCCAGCTCGGATCCAACCGATCAAAGACGACCTCAGGAGAGGCCCGACGGACCTCACCTGAGCTCGGGGGCCTGTATGTTGATATCCGAGTCCAGTCCCAACAGAGGTACCGGTTCGACAGATCGATAGCCGAACGACGACCGGCCGAGTCGAAGGAGCCGGTCACCAAAACCGCACGTGGGTGCCGAGCTGAATAAAAGTCAAAGTCATCTGGAACGGCGGGAGGGACCGGTCCCGAGCTCGGCACCACACACATGTAGCTATGAGGTCGGCACCCTACTCGAAATCTCACAAGGGCGGTCCCTGGTAGAAATACGGTGTCAAATACAATAAAATAATGCCACTTGTCGACAAATGATTGCCGATGGGACATCCAACTCAGCCAAAACGTGTCCGCATTTAATGCAGCCCACGTTCGCATTAAATGCATAGCAGGTAATGATTGGAAAATCCGGAAATCACTCCCAATCAGTCAGAGAAGTGCCGGCTTGTCTCGCTGAACTACTGTGCGACAAGATTGGTGAACAGTACCTGAACAGTACCGCATTAAAGACCCCTATAAATAGCAACCCCCTCATTTATTTTTGGGTTGTTGAGTTCCAACTACTTGTACCCCATATTTTCTCTCTCTAAGTTTGTAAGAAACTCATATAAGAAATTGTAAGTATATCGCAAGTGCCGACCTCGCACGAGAGGCCGACCTCGTGATCCTTTAATAAAATCGTGACTGAACCGCATTTCTTTGTCTTTATCCTATTTTCTTTCCATTACTCAACTTTTTAACCGTTGACCGGAAACGTCCGTCAACAGGGATATATTAAAATAATATTTTAAAGTTGATTTGATGTAAAATAAGAAAAAAGTGATTGAAAGTAATGGTTAGTTAAAAATATGTGAGTGGATGAATAGTGAAATAAAGTTGATGTGATGTGTAAGAATGATTGGTTAATATTATTTAATTATATTGATAATATGGGAAATAGTGAGATTGAGTTAGAGTTAATTAAATTTGAGTTTTGATTGATTTTTTTTAACTGTATACAGACTATAAAACAATCGCCCAACAATTGTAGTACTACAATATATCCCATCTCTGTCCCAAGCTTTTGTTCCGACCATCTCTCGAACGTAGTTTTATCTCTCCATCTCTTCTACTCCTCGCTAGTCGTGAAATATGGAAAACAGTGAAGATATTGGTGGCGAACATCATGAGAAGCACGACGATGAGGGAAGGCACGATGACGAGGTCTCAATTTTCATTTTGATTTCTTGTCCCTATTTGTTGTTTTCCTTTGAATTTCAACAGCAGATGCAGATGCAATTACGATCAGTATTTCACTTGAGGAATTTGAAGATTTATATTTTAGTTTTCCCTCATTTTGAGAGCGTAGTTTCTTTAATTTAATGGCTTATAATATGTTTCATCTGGTGCAGGAAGCTGTTGCTCGCCTTGATGAGTTTAAGAAATCCATTGAAGCGAAAATGGCTCTTCGTAGGAATAATTTGAACCCTGAACGGCCTGGTTAGTGCTTTAGTCGAGTGAAATTAAATTTATTTAACAGATTCGACAAAGAGAGTGCCCCGTTTTCATTTGTAGTTGAGTATGTTACACAAGTTAAGTTTATCTTTGGTGTTTATTAATCATTTTTCTGTTCACGTACCTGGTGCTGTAGCATGTCTCTTGACATTGTGTAAGTGTCATCAATTCACTATAATGCTTCCCTTATCCAGAACCCAGATATAGAAAGAGCTTTTAGCAACTGATATCTTGTGACTTGTTGTTCTGTCCTGTGAATGATCCTCATTGTGCCCCCGTCAAATGCAACATGACAGGAGCTATAATCATAGAAGAAAGTATGGTCTAATTTTATTTATTGTTTGATGTAATTCCCCCATGGAAAATACTTCTCCAGCAGGATGTATTTAAATTTAGTTAAGGATTTTATTTTCCGTACCTTTCTTTAGTTTCTTGTTTCCTCTTGCCAGACTCATATTCTTCGGTTTATGTAGAAATTCAGAAGGCTGTAAATTTCATTTATCCCTTTTCTTGTTATTATTGCTCAACCATGATGCTATGAAGTCCTTGTAGTTGGAAAAACATTTATACTCGAGTGGATCTTGTAAAACATCAACAATTCTGAAAGTTCATTGTTGAAAAGTGGTATGTCTTTGGAGTATAGAGTTATCTTGTATTAAGTGTTGATTTAGCTACTTGTCCATTCCAGACTCGGGCTTTCTTAGGACACTGGACTCTAGCATCAAGCGCAATACAGCTGTCATAAAAAAACTGAAACAGATCAATGAAGAACAGCGAGAAGGTTTGATGGATGAATTGCGCAATGTCAATTTGAGCAAATTTGTCAGTGAAGCAGTAACAGCCATCTGTGATGCAAAGCTTAAAGCGTCTGACATACAACCTGCTGTACAGGTGTCTATTCTATTGTTTGCCTTCCACTTTCTGAAAATTTTTGGTTTATTAAATTTTTCCTTGACTCAATTACTCCAATTTTATATTCGTTTTGCTTAACACAATGATTCACAATTTATGCTTGTGTGGCATATTCTCTCTGTGACTCCTTAGTCCTTATTAACTAGCTGTAATTACAGGCTGGTCGATCTTTTGAGTATTTGAGTGTAGGACGCTTTTACGTTATCTCATGAAGTTAAATCATTGACTAACTAGAATTAATCAACTCTAGTTTTTTTTTGCTTCCCATTCGTGTGCGTTCGAGTTTACTAGAATTAGTCCACTCTGGTGTTTTTCTTCTGTTCTTTTCCTTATGTGTGTGTGGGTCGCAATGCACATTTGCATCACGAGATATAGTCAAGTGACTGGCTCTATTGGTTCCAATTCACATATTAATATTAATATCACAGCATCCAATTTTAGAATTTGCACATTTTTCTTTACAAAACTTAATCCAAAGTAAGAGATTGATAATTGCTCATTAATTTTCTAGCCAAGTCTTTAGAAAAATTGGTGTATGAACCAAGAAAAGTATTAAATATTTTGGTTCTTAAGTTTCATCCCTTTTTCTGTGCTTCGAGCACTGTTTATTTTTTCTTCAGTTTTGGGGTTTTAATTGACCAATGACCTATGTTTGACCCATTATGAGGTTATATTGATGGATTTTTAGATCTTCATAAATAATTTGCATTTAGGAAAATTTTCTTCATCATTTGTGAGTTCAGAATCTATCTGGAATATGGTGTGCTCTTTAGGTCCTGCAACTGAGCAACTTTTTCCGTGCAAATTTTGAAGAGATCACTACTTTTAGTAGAAACAATATTAACATAAATCGAGAAGTTATTAGATGGTGGAAAATATTGTTAGTGAAGTTCATTTGTTGAGATCTTGTGCAAATAGCTCATGCCTGTTTCTTAGTGTAAGTGGCAGATTGTTCTGTGCTCATTCACTATGTTTTTGTTAGATTTAGCATATGAAGAGAGTAGAATTGAGAAAAAATATTAGACTTCGTAGATGGTTCTTTGTTGTGACCTTTTTTCCTGCTTCACATGTTGTCTGTCTTACTTTCTCTTCGCTTCTCTGTGTATGCTTGCATTATGTCACACTATTGTTCCATATAAGCAAGAACTTGCCAACCACTATATCTTTTCGACTAATGCTTGCATTTGATTCGAATAAATTTATGCCCAACCAAAGCTAAGTCAATTTTAAAAGATCTCCTTTGGCAAATGACAGTCATTTTGACTGCGATTACCAGTGTATAACTCAGGTATATTTGAGTTTAGGCTACTTAATAAATATGATTTCCACCGTTTCAGTTGTTGTATGATTTGCAATCCTCCAAAATAATCCAAAAGTACCTATAACATTGTTAAAGTGCAATTCCTGTTTTAGTCTTTATTACATTTACTTCTTTCATCCCAGATGGAAAATTTCTATAATAAAATTTTTTCGGTATCAGATTTGTTCTTTGCTCCACCAAAGGTACAACGACTTCTCGCCTAGTCTTGTTCAGGGCCTCTTAAAAGTATTCGCACCAGGAAAACCTGTGGAAGATGTCGATGCAGACAAGAATTCAAGGGCCATGAGGAAGCGAAGTACTCTGAAGCTTCTCCTGGAGTTATATTTTGTTGGAGTTGTAGAAGATAGTGGCATCTTCGTAAATATTATTAAAGATCTAACCAGCAATGAACATTTGAAGGATCGCGAAACAACCCAGACGAATTTGTCTCTTCTTGCTAACTTTGCTCGACACGCAAGGTTTTTTCTGGGACTTCCAATGACTGGACAAGATATTCTTGAAGAGGTTCAGCTTGTATACTTTGTTCTAGATTACATGCTATATTATGTTTCCATGTTTGTTAACTAGGTTCTGCTGTGTTGCTGAGGTCCCTGATTAATTATTTCCTTTTTCTATGTTCTCTATTTTCATGAATATTTTGGCTTCACCTACTAACTGTGCATTAAGCAAACCTTGTTCTGTACATCATGTATCTTCATGGTATTTAGAAGTTCATTCACTTTTTTATCCTTATGTAGGACTCGTGCCTTTTGGCAATTGGTCTATAAACAGGGCCAGTTTATGGTCATTTGTCCTTTTATTTTCCTTTTGCTGAAAGTTGCGCTTGATCATAGTGTCTGCTCTTTTTTTATGGATCCAAATTCCAAAAATAAGTTATTTACATTAGTATTTATGGGATTAAACAGTGCGCGCATCAATAATTTCCACAAATGCATGAACAATGAGAGTCAGTTAACTACTGCCCATTGCATTTCATTAATTTTAATTCTGAGGATGGTTGGGTCTGTTTCTATGGGATATTAGTTGTGCTTAGTTGGCTGTCTGTGCTGCATTCTTGACTGAATGAATTTGTTCACTTGCTATGAAATTTGGTTGCAATGATGATTTAACTGTTTCTGGTGTCAATATCTTACAGTTTTTCAAGGGCCTTAACATTCCAGCAGAGCAGATAAAGTACTTTCGTAAGACATTTCAAAACTACTATGATGCTGTTGTGGAACTTCTTCAGGCTGAACATGCTGTAAGGAATTAGTATCTTATGTACTTGAATGTTGGTGCTAGTTTTTTTTGTATGTATTTATTTTATAATATGATCCTCGGTACTGTTTAAATCTTTGATATTTTAATTCGTAAATGGCAGTCACTTCGTCATATGGAGCATGAAAATGCAAAAATTTTGAATGCCAAAGGAGAATTGAGCGAGGAAAATGCTTCTTCATATGAAAAGCTGCGGAAATCATATGATAATATGAGCCGTGGTGTCACATCGTGAGTTAATTTTTACCCGTCTGAATTCAGATATTCACTACTTTATTCATTATCTAGCACTTTTTAGATGCTCTTTATCTTTGTGTGTATCAATTAAATTCTCAGATGTTGCTATTTCTTTGTAATTTTTGCGCTTGCCTTGCCTTTTCTGTTTGCTCATTGATTTGGAGGATTATTAATTTATTATTATTTCTTTTTGTAGTTTGGCTGAAGCACTTGATATGCAACCTCCAGTAATGCCGGAGGATAGTCATACAACAAGACTCACATCAGGTGAGGATGTTTTATCACCTGTTGCTGGAAAAGACACTTCTGCTATTGAAGCCCTCTGGGATGATGAAGATACCAGAGCTTTCTATGAATGCCTTCCTGACCTCAGGTGGCCACTTTATACTTTCTTTCTTGTGCTCTTCCCTATATCAAATATTGTGGGCTGAAACTAAGAGCCTGTTTGTTTATGAATTTTTTCAAAAAAATTCTCACATTTTAACTCAACCACTTTTTTTAACTCAACTTTAACTCAACCCCACTATCATCAAAATTATCAATATAATTAAATAAATCAATCAATCATTCATACACACCACATCAACCTTAATTCACTATTCATCTACTCACATTATGTTAACTAACCATCACTTTAAATCTCTCTCCTACTTTTACATCAAATCGATTTTAATTATTTTATTATAAATATTATTTTAATATACTCACTAACAACTACATACCACCTTTTTCAAAATTAACCAAATCAAAACAAAAAACCAAAAACTTTTATAAACAAACATGCTCTAATATTTTGTTTAGAGCTTTTGTGCCTGCTGTGTTGCTTGGGGAGTCGGAAGCAAAGTCAAATGAGCAGTCCTCAAAGAATCAGGAATCATCATCTGTAAGTGCCTTACTTCAGTGTCCTCTCTCTAGTAATAGTTTGTAAAATTACCAGCTGATTTCTGCAACTTCCTGCGCTCCTGCTCTGGCATTTCCTGCAAGAAGAATCATGTCATCATTTTGACAACTATTAGATGTGGGTGGTTGCCGTTAATTATTGTATGCTGCTACTCAGCATCTATTCTAGCAAGGCTTGTTAAGAATGTACTGATTTTTTTCCTCCTCTTTTAATTGGTGAGGATGGAGGTGGATAGTGAGATTAGGTGGGATGTTGAAAATGTTGAATGCAAACTGTACGGAATTTGATGAACTTATACCGCTGAAGTTGCTTGAAATCTAATTTGTTAAACAATAGGAGCTTTCAAATTCTTCCTCTTATCATTGTATTGTTTCATGGACGAATTCTGAAATAATTTTCCTGTTAAGATTATTATCCGGAGTTAATATCAAAGCTTTCAAATGCTTCTTGTTAGTATCTAAGGTTCAACTAGTATCATTTGAACATAATCTGAGCATTTCTTTTTCCCTAAATGTGGGCATCTTCTGACATGGTTATCTCTTTGGAAGGATGCGGCTTCCGAATCAGACAAAGGTCAGATAGCCACACAAGAAAATCCTGAAATTTCTGCTGATTCTGGAAATGTAACAGAGGATAAAGAGAAGGACAAAGAAAAGGGGAAAGAGAGAGATACTGAAAGGAAAGGAGAAAGTGAAAAGGATAAAACAAAAGGTCTTGATGGAACAAATCTTGAAGCTTTGCTACACAGGCTTCCAAGCTGTGTGAGTCGTGACCTGATCGACCAGCTAACCGTAAGCTTGATTTTTCTTGCTCAAGCTTTTTTTTTACTTTTCTATCGTCATTTATGAGGTAAATTGATGTTAAAATAAAGCTCTCATTGATCATACTATTTTTCAGGTAGAGTTTTGCTATTTGAACTCAAAATCCAGTAGAAAAAAGCTTGCAAGGGCTTTGTTCAATGTTCCAAGGACATCACTGGAGCTGTTGCCATACTACTCGCGCATGGTTGCAACATTGTCTACCTGTATGAAAGATGTATCGTCCATGCTTCTGCAGTTTTTGGAGGAAGAATTCAACTTTTTAATAAATAAGAAGGTGATAATTGCTGATGCGCATGTTTGGAGTACAATGTATTATTCTGTCGTAACTTATATATTCTGTTGAACTGCAGGATCAAATGAATATTGAAACGAAAATAAGGAACATTCGGTTTATAGGAGAACTTTGCAAGTTCAAAATCGCCCCTGCTGGCTTGGTTTTTAGCTGTCTGAAGGTATGATAAATATATGGCTTCTATATGGAACCTACTCTCTCTCTCTCTCTGTCTGAAGGTATTAATATCTTCCCATTCATATATGCCACCAGTCGCACATGCCAAAGAACTGTGCTTTACATTGGTGCGCCAGAGCTTAGTTGCCTTAACAACCATAGCATCTTTTTGCTGGCTATGTCAAGGCTTCTGCTTCATTACTTGGGCTAGTTATCTGTTTTTAATTCTTTCAATGCAATCCGTTAGGCGTGTTTTTTTTAGTTTCCCAGTCCTGTCTTGCTTTTTTTCTTGAAGGAATGTATTTGATAAATTGGCCTGGGTAGAACTCATCGCCAAAAGCTAGCTCAAAGGGAGAGGGTGCCCACCAACCCACACTTATACAAAATAACAGCCCAGTAACTAATCAATGTGGGATAAGCATAACTTAGAACACCCGCCCTCATGCGCAGCTTGCGAAATTTAATTGGTCGGGTCCAAACCCATCATCGCCTCCAAACAAAAAAGACCTGGGTGCTTTGATACCATGATAAAAATGGTCTTGGGTAGAACTCATCCCCAAATAGCTCTATGGAAGAGGGTGCCCAACCTACACTTATACACAATAACACAATAACAGCCCAGTAAGGCAGTAACTAATCGGTGTGGGATAAACATAACTTTTAACAATAATCTTTATGGTACACTAGTGGCTTAAACTCCTTAACGTATGTATCATATGCTTGTCCAATTAGATAGATACCTATTTAGAGTCCGGAACACAATGCTCGTGTTACTTGCTGACAGTTTTCTTGGATCTCAGGCTTGTTTAGATGATTTCTCTCACCATAATATTGATGTCGCCTGCAATCTTCTTGAGACATGTGGTCGCTTTCTCTACCGGTCCCCTGAAACCACTGTACGGATGTCGAACATGTTAGATATACTGATGCGCCTGAAAAATGTCAAAAATTTGGATCCTCGTCAGAGTACCTTAGTGGAAAATGCTTATTACTTGTGTAAACCACCAGAAAGATCTGCGCGAGTTTCCAAAGTCCGTCCACCTCTTCATCAGGTAGTTTTGCTATACATGGATGTTTTGATCTTTTGATTCACCATGAAGTGGAAAATGCTTTTAACCCTATAAATGGTGTATTCCACAGTATATTAGGAAACTACTCTTCTCAGATCTCGATAAGTCTTCCATCGAGCGTGTTCTGCGGCAGTTGCGTAAGCTACCTTGGAGTGAATGTGAGGAATATCTCTTAAAGTGCTTCTTGAAGGTTCACAAGGGAAAATATGGTCAGATTCATTTGATTGCATCACTAACAGCTGGTCTGAGCCGCTATCATGATGACTTCGCAGTTGCTGTCGTTGATGAGGTTAGTTCTTATTTTTGCTCATCTGATTACCAAAAGTTTTTTGCATTTTTATATTCGTTATTATACTGACGCAATGAACAATTTGATTAATTGGAAAAAAAATACAGTAGTGGTGTAGATTATTATTATTATTATTATTATTATTAGTAGTATTATTATTATTATTATTATTATTATTATTATTATTAGGTATCTTGGGGAATAAGTTAGGGATTTAATTTTATTTAATATTTAGTAAGAGATCTTGTCTTGTTGGACAAGTTAGAAATAGAGTTTAGGAGTCTTATTTAAAGGGCTCCTCATCTATTGTTTTATTCAGTTCAGTTGATTATTGAAATGAAATAAGATTTGATATCGTGTTTCGGTGTTCTTGAGATTGCGATCTCATTAATATCGTTCCATTCGTACGCTTCCTTACATCAGTTGGTATCAGCAGTCAGTACGATTCGCGATGCCGCCGGGACGACAAGCTGCCGCAAACAAACGACGTGATGCAACCTTCAACGATCGGTTTCAGCAGATCGACTACCGATTTGATTAGTTGGACGTGCGTTTCACGGATTGGTTTGCAGATCTTTCGACGGGGATCGAGGATTTGGGCTTGACGCTTAACAACGTGATCTGGGATTTGCAGATGAACCGTGCCGCCGGCGAGCGTGGGAGTTCACGGAGGAAGTGGAGGTCGTGGTCCAGGCGCGGCACCCCGCCGGAGATCTCCACAACCACCGTCCGGCGACGAAGACGGCGAGAAGATAGGCTCGAAGGTGAATCCCTCCGATGATTTTTCAACCCCGCACGTCGAGGCTGACCCCTTCGTTGCATACGGCGGCCGTGACATGCGGCGACGGGGCCCGGTCTTCGTGGACGGCGACGATCAACGCTACGACAAAGGCAGGCGCGAGGAGGCTGCCTTCGCCGGCGGGTATCGTGCCCGACACGATTGGGACTTGATCGCGAATATGGTCGATGGGAGGGCCCGTTTCGCGTTGACATCTCCGAATTCAACGGAGAGCAAGTTGACGGGCCATTATACGATGGTCCGCCTGTGTTTGATAAAGGACCCGAGGAGGTGGAGGAGCGTCTTACTGTCGAAGTGGACGGTCTCTACGACGGTCCGTCGATCTTTAATAAGGAGCCTTCGGAGCTGAAGGATGAAGCTAGAACTGCTGCTATCAAAATCGTTGAAGAAGAAACACGGTTATATATGTTGCAACAGTTTCATTGTTGATTGTGCACTTTCCAAATCGATTCTCGGAAACAAAAAATGTTAATTATTGGATTGTGGTTTCGAAGTATTTGTTTGGGTTGACCGGGTAACTCAAGTGGAGGAGAGAAAAAGTGTCAGCCGAGGATTTTGTGGCTCGCCAAGGTAGATCACAGTGCCGTTCAACCTTCGTGTTCGACCGGGGAAAACGACGGGGGTTTTCTACTATGGTTCGACACCACATGCCGGTCACGGGAGCGCATTGGCTTCGAGGGCGAAGCCTTCCGAACTGGGGGAGAATGGTGTAGATTATTATTATTATTATTATTATTATTATTATTATTATTATTAATAGGTATCTTGGGGAATAAGTTAGGGATTTAATTTTATTTAATATTTAGTAAGAGATCTTGTCTTGTTGGACAAGTTAGAAATGGGGTTTAGGAGTCTTATTTAAAGGGCTCCTCATCTATTGTTTTATTCAGTTCAGTTGATTATTGAAATGAAATAAGATTTGATATTGTGTTTTGGTGTTCTTGAGATTGCGATCTCATTAATATTGTCCCACTCGTACGCTTCCCTACATCAGGTAGTATATCCATTTTATAGCTAGCTGTATGTTTAGAATGTGATCAGAAAAAACTGGAGACTGTCCATGTATGTTTTCCTTAGTTCAGTCTCCAACAAGTTCTTTACTGTGCTCAAGAAAACAATACCTGCAACCATCTCTTCCCATGGGCATGGTATCCTGTGGACTTTGTTGTTTGATTTGTCAATATAAGCTTCAGACTTGCAATGCTAGTGCAGGTGAGCATTTTTGGTTTTGTTGGACAAGATCATATCATTGTCATTTTGGAGTTTCTCATCTGGATTTTCTTGTTGTGAACAAATTATATTGTGACTCTAGCAAGAAATCATGACACCATTATTTTGTGTCCTGCTTAAATTTAATGTCACTCCAGTGACTGATGTTTTCACAGATTGGGCTTGATACTGCACCGTTTCACTGATTTGGTTTAAAATTGTTAAATAGAATACAGTACTTTCTTCTAGAGGTTTTCTCTGAACATGAGACGGAAAAGTGAAATGGACAAGATAAAGGTAAGTGTTGTTGTAACTTATATGTTGATCACCTGGTAAGTGGCGGCCCTCCTAAGCTGCTCACTTGCCCAAAAGCCTTGTCAACTTTAGTGCTGGTTGTCTTTCAATGTAGTAGATGTAAATTTATTTCAGTTTCATTCACGTTAATATTTTAATTTCTCCTCTAAGCTGCCTCCTCAGTAGAACCGCCCTGTGAATTGTGGTTTGGTTATAAGCAGAAATATATTTTTTTCTGTAGTTCTGACGTTATGCTATTAATCGCTTCATATGCTAATGTTTCTTGGGTATGTCAGCATACTATTTGTCCTTTGTAGCTATTTCTAACTAAAACATTTTGCATCGATTTGACATGTCATTTAGGCAAGTTTATAGTGTACCATTGCTTTGCTTTGGCAAATCTGAGGCCGATTATGGAGAAATAGGAAGAGTTTGCGCAGATATTGTGGTTGAGAGGATTCATAATGAGATATTATATTCTTTGTTTCTGTTCAGGTTTTGGAGGAAATTAGAAGGGGGCTGGAGCTGAATGACTTTGGGATGCAGCAACAACGGATTGCGTTCATGCGTTTCTTGGGGGAACTGTACAATTATGAACTTGTAGATTCATCTGTAATTTTTGATACGCTTTACTTGATCCTTGCTTTTGGACATGGCACAACAGAGGTATGAATATATACTTATCTGGTCCTTGACAGTTGTTTAAATAAACCAACTTTTGATTTCTCTTTGGGAATAAACTGGAGAAGTTTTTTTCTTTTTTTAAAACACAACATAGGTACCTTTATGATTTTATGCAATCCTGGATTTTCAAATAATATTGATGTGGTGCTTTATGGTCATAATGCTAGCAAGACGTGTTGGATCCGCCAGAGGACTGCTTCCGTATCAGAATGGTTATCACACTTCTCGATACATGCGGCCATTATTTTGATAGAGGTTCATCAAAGAGGAAGCTTGACCGATTCTTGATTTATTTTCAAAGATACATACTGAGCAAAGTTGCCCTTCCCCTGGATATTGAATTCGATCTCCAGGTCCGTACTTGTATATATTCACCACGTTCTATATTGTATTCAAATCGACACATACCCAAATCATATTCCCCAGATGCCACAACAATGTTTGCGCTTGCCAAAAAAAAAATGCCCATTTAAATTAAAAGTATTTCATTGTAGTAATGGTTGCAAGTCTGTATTAGAAAGGACTGCAAAATTGTGCATTTTTAATCCCACTGCAATATTCTTCCTGCATTATCCATCTTCCATTTGCCCTCTCCCACCTGAGCATACAAATCGAAAATAATAGCAAAATAAAAAAATTTCAGGACTTATTTGTCGAACTGAGACCAAACATGACCCGATACTCATCGTTTGAAGAGGTCAACAACGCATTAATCGAGTTCGAGGAGCGTGAGCGCCGGGTCTTGACTGAAAGGGCTCACAAAGAGAAGTACACCAGCTCGGAGGAGAAGTCCAGTTCGAAAAACCTGTCGATGAACGGGCGGAGTCCCGAGAATGGCACGGAAGAGAACGGCCGAGAAGCTCATGGGGACGAAACAGAGAGCGACTCTGGGAGTGGAACTCCCGAGCGCAAAGGCCGGGATGAGGAATCGGACCGTGAGAATCGAGACGAGAGTGAGGACGATTATGGGCCGGCTTCGGATGAGGAAGATGACGGGCAGGTGCGTGTCAGGCAGAAGGTTGCTGAGGTGGACCCGGAGGAGGTGGCTGATTTTGATAGAGAGCTGCGGGCCCTCATGCAGGCAAGTTTTCGTTTTTTTTTTCTCTTTCTTTTTTGGTATTAATTGTTTATTGGACTGGTTGGTTGCTAGAACTATGCTTAGGACGTTTAACAAGAGTTAATTTTGAAAAAGTTGGTGTGCTTAGTTAGTGAGATTTTGAGGTTACATTAAAATAATATTTAAAATAAAATAATCGAAGAATGTGAAGTGATGGTTGGTTAAAATTATGTGATGTACAAGAATGATTGTTTGGTGTTACTTAAATATATTAATAATAATGAAGATAGTGAAGTTGGGTTATAGCTGAGTTAGATTTTGAGTACGAATTGGATAAATTTGTAGACAAACACTTTTTTTCTTAGGGTTTTGGAATAATTAGGATAGAAACCCGATTGTCTTCCAAAATTACATATATGCCATTGAAGTATGTCGAACACTCCCGAGGTTGGTTTGTGTGCAATTTATAAACTCCAAGTTCCGAGTGACTAACACTATGTTTGTAAAAGAATAAACTCAATTCAAATTAATTCATACTCAAAATCTAACTCAACTTTAACTCAACTCCACTATCCTCAATATTATCAATATCATAAAATAACAACAACCAATCATTTTTACACATCATACCAACTTTAATTCACTATTAATCCACTTACATAATTTTAACTAACCATCACTTCATATCATCTCTCTCCTACTTTTACATCACATCAATTTTAATTATTTTATTTTAAATATTATTTTATTATAAACTCAAAATCCCACTAACAATTAACTAAAAAAAACTCACTTTGAGTTGATTTGAGTGAATTTATTCTTTTACAAACACACCCTAAATAGCAGCAAATCTCACCAACTGCATTGTGATGCAGGAAAGTCTGGACTCGAGAAAACTCGAGCTACGCACACGCCCATCCATAAACATGATGATCCCGATGAACCTCTTCGAGGGCCCCACAAAGGAACACCACCATCACCACCACGGACGAGTAGCATCAGAGGCTGAGAGCGGTGACGACACGGCAGACGAGGGGTCGGGAGAGGTCAAAGTCAAGGTCAAGGTGCTGGTCAAACGCGGGAACAAGCAGCAGACGAGGCAGATGTACGTCCCGCGCGACTGCTCCCTCGTGCAGAGCACCAAGCAGAAGGAGGCAGCCGAGCTCGAGGAGAAGCAGGACATCAAGCGCCTCGTCCTGGAATACAACGACAGGGAAGAGGAGGAGCTGCTGATGCTCAACAACAGTGGTGGTGGGGCCCAGCCGCCAAACTGGAACCAGGGAGGGGGTAGGATATTGAGCAGGGGTGGGCCCACGTGGGACGGCCACGGCAGATCGTCGTCTTCGGGTGGGCGCCACCACAGGCATCTGTTACACCACTCGGGAGCCGGGTATTATTATGGGAGGAGAAGGTGATTTTGATTTCCTACATGTTTTTTAGTATTATATATATAGGGTTTTGTGTCTTGTATTGAAAATATGGTGTGCATGCATATGCATATGGTATGGGTAAACCAGTTATGGCTAGGGAAAAGATTTCATGTATAACCTTTTTTTTTTTTGTGTGTGTGGAAAAAGTGATCAATTAATGGACCAAATTATCAGCTTGCTGTGAAAAATGTTAAGAGCTAAATGTTGAAGAGTGAGTTCTTCCTTATGTTCCATTGGATTTTGGGGAAATTTGTTAGGATTGTGCAAAGATTATCCTTTCAGGTGNGCGATCAATCAATGGAGAATGGTCAATCAGTTGTTGGGGGTTGTGTCTTGCTGTGAAAAATGTTAAGAGCGTATGAGTTCTTCCACATTATGGGAGGAGAAGGTGATTGATTTCGTACTTGTTTTGTTTATATAGGGCTTTGTGTCTTGTATTGAACTATGGTATGGGTAAAACCAGTTATGGCTAGGGAGAATATTTCATGTGTAACCTTTGTGTGTGTGAAAAAGTGATCAATCAATGGAGAATGGTAAATCAGTTGCTAGGGGGATGTGTGTTGCTGTGGAAAATGGTAAGGGCGTAAATGTTTGAAGAGGGAGTTCTTTCTTATGTGTTCCATTGGATTGGGGAAATTTGTGAGGGTTGTGCAAAGATTATCCGTTTAGGTGCTTGTCGGATCCTCCTCTGTGTTGGTGTAAAACCTCAAATTTTAGCATGGAATCTGAATGTTGCTCAAGTATGAAAGTAAGAATGCATGTTCATCTGATTCTGAATGTAATCTGAAATGGTGCTTGGCATGGCAGCTTGAGGTGTGATATAAGAATGCATGGTTTTTT